ACCGCGCAGCGCGCGCGCATGCGCTGGGGGGTTACGGTGCGAGGCGCCGTGGCTTCTGAATAAATGAAAATGATTTAACACAGTTGTTTATACTTTTAGCAGCTCTTTTTATTCCACAGCTGACCTGCTAAAAATGACAGATTTTCTTTTCTGGATCTCTGACAGACGGACTTCAATCTCTGAACTCGTAAAGTTCTTCTTTTTAGTTTTCGCTGTCATTTTTCATGAATGGACACTTCCTTGTATCTGAGGTAGGAAACATAGCCTTATATGGTGTTTTTGGGGTGGTAATTATGCTATTCTCCTCTTGCGTGCACGGGCAGTTGATACAAACAGGTGTAATTTACGCAGCTCATTTACACACTTTTCCTGAAGATAGAAGAGTTTGTTGAATCTGACGTGACATGTTCGTACGAACAAAAGTAAGAGAAATTTAGGATAAGAATACGAACATGTTCTTGCATGAGGCCCATTGAGTCTAAATCTGCAGGCGCCAGTGGTTTTGAAGTTTAAACCCGCGCTCCGCTGCGACACTTCAGCCTAAGCTTTAAAATCAGAAAAAAAAAACTTTTCCAGTTGAAGTGACCCAAATTCAGCAAGAGTTTATTTCCAAATCCCACAAGCTGCTTTAGCAGAAGGAAATGCTGCAGCACTCGCTCCCACTGCACCACTGGTTCAGCTGCGCCTCACAGACACTCCAAAGCCTCCTGTCCTTCAATGCGCTATCAGCTCCTGGAGATGCATTCAGTATGATGCCTAGATCTGAGATGATTATCAGATGGGAGTGTTTTATTTATTTTAGATTAAATAAGACACCTCCGTGATGAGCATAAAACTGAAAATGTCTCTGTGTGAGTGTGATGATGCCACAGAGCTCCATTCTTGTGAAGCCTCGTTTAATTTTTTTCTCCGCCTCACTTGGCCTATTTGTCTTCCAGAGGTCCGGAGTGTTAATTGCAATCTGGATGGCCTTTAGATTTTTCCGTCACCTTGTAAAAAAACTGTTAAATATGGAAAATATTCCGTTAATGTGACCTCTTTTCCCACTCTTTATTTTGCTACATTTTCATTTTTTTAACCTTATTTCCAGTACAGTCTGCATAAATCAAATCCGTATTATTGCGCAGTTTTTAATTTAATAATTGTTTTAACAGTGATGGCGGCACGTTGTGAGTGACAGCTGTCCTCTCCTCTCCTCCTCAGGCTGTTACAAGCTGCAGCCACTGCATAACATTTTTCATATTTTAATCTTATTTTTGGCTTTTTGTAACGTGATCAAGTCAAAAGCGCGATAGTGTGTGCGCGCGAGCGATAGTGCGTGTGCGCACGCCGCTTTGGGTGCATTGGGCTTTGTGAGACAGAAGCGCCATTTTTCAGCACCATATGATGCGTGCCACATTCATGTGGCCTTTGTTGGTCAGGATGTGGTTGTTAGGTGCCTGGTGTCACGTTCGTGTTTTTGTGTGCCGCGCATATTGCGCCCATATGGCCTGTATTTGTGTGGGTCAGTTGCGGTGATGGTTTTGTGCATACCCTATGATAACCTGATCTGGCCCACCCATTCTTTCTCAGGCCTGGCCTAAAATAAATTTCTGGCTACGCCACTGCTTCTAACTAATGAAATATTAAGTTATTAGTGACAAAAATTTGTCTGGATAACGGCAGACTGACTGCTCGTAAAATATACGACAGGTCTGGACCACTCGTGAATTTTGTTCGTATCTGAAGAAAATCTTAGAATACGAAAAAATTGGTGAATGCCACAAATTCTCCTAAATCACTCGTACACACATCTAAACAAATCGTGCATACGAAAGAACCAATGTGAACCATATGTTTTCTTTCTGTTAAAAATAAAACAGAACCTACATTTAAAGAAAGATTATTCCTACCTGCATTACTTTTCTGCTGGAACTGAGGTTTCCCGTTAGTTCTGGAAGTCCTGAACACACTGACCCTTTCAAAGGTTCCCTGTCTTTGCTTGACTGACAGAGGACTTGGTCTTGGACTCGCAGCAGGAGGATGTGAAAGTGATCCAACTTTTCCTTGTTTGGAGAATGGATGACGCTGAGTTCTACTTGTTCTTTCATCCAACGGAGCTCCGGCCGTATCTGATTTGTTGGACTCTGACTGAAAAATCAAAGATTTTCTTACTTGAAGGCATTTGGGAATTAGAAATTGTTCAACTCTAATGGTGCGTTCACACCGAACGCGATTTCAGCGTCAAAATCGCAGCCAACGCTGAAGTTTGAAGCTTGTGCACTTTGAGGTCAGACGCAGGACAGCTGCGCTGCACGGCGACAGCCGCCCCGCCCCTCCCTCCTCTGTGGGGCTGTTTAATGTCGGACGAGGAAGTGGCTTTGCTTTATTTACAGAGAGCCAGAGCATGTCACGTTCATCAGATAATTAATTCATAATTAATTCACCAGATAATTCAGAGAAGAGGCTCACAGCTCGCTTTCAGGACTATTTTTTTCAGTCTGATGAGTCGCTGCCACGCATTGCTGCGGATCAGGACACGACTGCAGCACTCATTTCAGCTAAAGAGCAGGAGCTCTGTCTGTTTCAGGTTAGTGGACATCATTCAATAAACTGTCCCGTCGGGAAATATGTCACTACGTCACACAGTGGAGTCTCTGATTGGTTGACGCTGCGCGTCGAGCTGCAAAAGTTCAGATTTTCTAACTTCAGCGATTTGTGCCTCAGCGCGTCGAACGCTCAGATCGTTCAAATCGTTCAAATCGCGCTGCTCTAATCGCGCTTGAGGCGCCGCAGCACTTCCCGACGCTGAAATCGCGTTCGGTGTGAACGCACCATAAGCCCCTGCAGATACTCACCACCAGGCTGATCTTCTTCACATCTCTTGGAGAGTTGTTAGTCATTTCTTCAACCTGTTTATTTCGGGAAGGGCCGATGAGATGCCCCGGTTTGGTTGAGTCTTTGTCCTTGCCAGTTTTACAAACGGTAAAACTAGTTGTGACTCTCAGAGTTGCTCTTTTCTCTTTGGGTGGTTTAGATGTTGAACTTTCAGACGAGCTGCGGGGCCGTGCCTTGCTTAAGGGAGGTTTGTCTTGACCTAAAGTTAAGCCTGATCTGACCCCAATTTTGTTTGACACATGCTTCATTTGGCCACTTCTAGCTGGTGATTTTTCTAAAGACGATGCACAGCTCTGGCTGCCAGTATGTTCTGTTGAAGCATCTGATGTTTGGCTTGCCTGTTTATTTTCAGAACTGCCTTCACCAGTTTGGACAGCTGAAGCAGGGTCATTCACAGCTGGGTGAGGGTCAAGTGAAGATGCTCTGGTATTGACTTGTCCGTCTACAACAGAAAGGCCACATGATTGTTTAACTTTCAAATTAGCAGTAATTGTATTAACTTTTCCATGAAACTTTTGCAACACTTCAGACGTGGCAAAGAGTGCTCTACTCATTACTCGTGCAGGAGTAATCCGAACGCTTGTTTTGTTGTTTCCTTCACTGTGTTTATCAGATGCATTACTTTGCTCTGATTTTTGTTGTGAACGAGCTGGTCTAAATACCTGGTGTGACACTTTAGATTTCACACCACCGAAGTCTGATTTGGGAAACCTAGGAGTTTTTGTTTTATTAGCTCTACTGAGTGAAGGTGTGAGTGTGGAGACTGGACACTGTTTGGCAGTGACACATATTGGCTGTTCTTTTACAAGCTGGATTTCTGGCATGCTTACGTTTTCAGTACAAGCAAGCAAGGAGGGGAGGGGAGGGTTTTTGTTGCCAACATTTTGTATAGGAGTAGAAGTATGAATATCATCACTTTCTTGAATAGCTGACATGCAACTAACAAAAGACTTTTCATGCTCTGGTATAAATTCTGAAACATGAAGCAACGATTCTGCTTCACCGTTGGCCTTATTTGTGAGGTCTGGAGAAGTTTCAAAGATGAAGGTCTTCCACAGACTTCCTTCACTCTTACTTGGCAGAGCTAAAACAGAGCTGGAAGGTACAATATCAATTTCCTCAGTCAGAAGCTCCAAATTGTCTGCCTGAATGAAAGTCAGACCAAGACCAGGACAGCCTGCGTTTTCCTCAGACACTCTTTCTGTGGATATTTTGCTGACATCTGGTAGTGTAGTTGACAGAAGGTTAAATTCTGCAGGCAATGATAGCTGGCTTGCGGATGGAGAGAGGTTTGATTCCTCCAGTGAAGAGACAGCTATGAGTGACAGCTCTTCCTGACAGAAACTGTTACTCCTTATCAGCATTTCTCCAGGGCTCAGAGAGCAGCTGTCAATCTCACTGGAGCTTTTAAAGGAGAAGTCACGTGAACTCAGTTTGAATTCCCTCCCAGCAAAGTCTGGAAACATCGCTTCACAGTCACCTTTGTCCTCTGTGGGCCTGCTTAATGACCGATCCGTCTCAGACGTAGTTTGTCCGGTAGGAAAACATCTCAAGCTTTCATTACAGACATGTGGGCTGCTGTTAATGGGTGTGACAATAAAAGTTTTGTCCATTTTAGAGGATACACAGAGATCACCCTGTACCAAGGTGGGATTTGGGACATCACACACACAGGAAGATTCACAGAAGGAGCACTCCATGTTGATGTAAGGGGAGCTCCGGGCTTCTCTTTCACCCAGGCTGGAAATACTGTGGGTATCAGGTGATGAAGACATGCTACGACTCAAAGGGAAAGGCAGAACTGCCTGTTGCTGTTTGACACTGTAAATGAACTCTAAAACGGGAGTTTTCAGCCTTGTTAAGAGTTTACCTACACTTCTTGATCTATTTACATTTCCTTATCCATCAAATTTGATGACCAGGACTGAACATCTGTAAAAGAAGAGAAACGTTTTTAGTAAAAACATCAGTTACTCAAAAACATATTCAGTCAAACATTCATGAATTGTAAATAATAGTAGTCACTAAAAACGTAACGGATTTTGTAGGCCGTCTCATTGTTTGTGATTAGGCCCAGGATGGTGACATCACTCTCGTTTTTAACAAGCTTTACAGAGGTCACTGGAGCATAGCTCATTGGTGTACAGATTAAACAGATACCGAGAGTACACATCCCAGTCGTGCCCCCATGGTGTTATCTGTTGAGACCTGTTATTAAGAATGTCCATAATCAGTTTACAGATTGCAAGAGAGACCTGTAGTTGCCTAAGTTTGTCTGCAGATGAATAGAATGATCTAGAAAAAAAAAAGAGACTGGCACTGCAGTTCTCTGTTCAGGTGATCCAGAAAATAATGAAAGCCGAGATTCACAGCATCATTCACAGAGCAGCTTGACCTGAAAGTGAACTATATAGGATCTAGTTGATGGACAGTGGTGGATCTGCGGAAAAACCATCATCAGTTTTTTTTTAAACATTTCATAGCTACCGACATGAGTGCAATAGGTTGGTAGTCATTCAGGCAGGGGACTTTTTGGCACCAGGACTATGATAGCCCTTTTCCAGCAATGGGAGACATGATGATTTTTGATGGATTTTTTTTATATCTTTAAGAGAACACGAGCTTACTGTGCCACACCAAACTTCTAAATAGCTGGTAACGCTCCATCTGGATCTGCAGCCTTCCATTTATTTAGTTTGCAAAATATATTTTAAAAAAAAGTATATCATGCTTTTAAATCCTTCTTTTTCACGTCTAAATCATTCACTTATGGTCTAATTAAAATAAAACTGCAACGCTTTGGTCTTAATTCCTCGTTTTTGTTGCTCCACAGACTCCTTGCTTTACCCCTGTTCTGAGTTGCGCCTCAGAGCAAGCTGTTTTGGTGCGGTCTATTTAAATGCAAGTGAGATATTTCACACCCCGCCTCCTCCAGGTCGCTGAACGTTCGACTCCACCCCGTTCGGCCATGTTTGTAGTTTCACAGCAACAACACAGTTATCTACCGACTAAAAACCGTTAAGTTAAAATAAGATAAGATAAAACTTTACTGATCCCACAGTCTGGAAATTTGCACATTACTGCAGCTTAATACAAGAGAGGCTGAGAAGAATAATGAAAGATCAATAAAAGATAAACAAAACCCCACAATATACACGTAATATATAGTAATGTACCAATGCACATATACACATA